GACACTAGGAGTGCCTTGGCTCTACTGTGAGTCAGTTTGCAGATCTGCAGAGTTATTTGCAGTAAGGGAAACGTGACCTTCATGTGCCTGTCCCAGTGCCCACACTGCTTTATCAGGGGACTGGTGATTTGACAGAATGCTGAGCATTATTGACATGAAAATTTGAGCTTTTGAAGGACTGGGAGCTACTGTAAGGAACAGTTTCAGCCCGGATTTGCTAAATTAAGTCCTTCCTAAGTCACAAGTAGGTGTTGAAGAGTTCATCCCTTCCTTTCACCCTCTTGTAATTGCCCCTCTTATGAGACATCTTGCTCTCTGAGGAAGTGTTGTTGCTCTGTCTGGGTGCTGTTTGAAGGGGTTTCCTTTTTTTGGAAATGCTTGGGAAAGTGCTTCTCTTCCTGCACTTCTTTGCGTTAGGATTCCTTGGCACACAGTAGGTCTGAGCAGACTTGACAGACCCTCTCTCTGGCACCTTAGATTCAGGTCATCAGTATTCAATCTCTCTGAAGTCAAATGTTGCTAACAGTCTGCTTAATTCTTCCTTCCACTGAACTCTCTCTCTGTCTACACGCTGTGCTGGAGACTCATGGTGGATCCTTTGCAGAGCTGAGGATTATAATGGATCAGCTAGCAAAACACATATCCTAAGGGGAAAAAAATGCATAAGCACAGATGTTCAGTTGACACCGGAGGTTTGTATGGCTTTATTATACAAACAAGGAATAGAGAATCTTCTTGTACCCTCACCCTTGAGTGCTGACATCGCTTGCACCTGTAGTGGGCTGTTCCAGGCAACTGCTGGGGTCTTCTCTTGTCTTTCTCTTCACGACCTGGAGAGTCTCTGAGCTTCTGCACGCTCGTGTGCTACCTGAAGGTAGGCTTCACTTGGCTGTGAAAGTGAGTCCACTTGAAGCACCAACAGCTGGACATCCCTACATTACATCTGAGTGAGGCAAATGGTGTATGGCTGACTGCAGAACTGCTTGCACAGACAGAAGAGAAGTGGTGTCCTAATTAGGTAACTTTCTGAAGGCGTGCTGAATGCGCCAGTGATGGTGATGTGTGGCATTCCCTCTAATAATTGTCCTGACAAACCATGATAGCCTGGTGGTGTAGATGGCCCTTTCTTCTCGTCCTATCAGGGTGGGTTGCCCAGCACATCCTGTTATCAGCGGGCTGATAGCAAGCAGGCTGTAGCTAGGCTTTGTTCTTGCCTTCAGAAGAGCTGCAGCATGTCAGTAACCTCTTGTGGGCTCCGCATGATGCTTTTCAGAAGGAGCTCGTTCACCTCTCGGTGGCAGCCGTTTTCCTCCAGGCTGTCATTTCGGAGTGGCAGTTCTTTTTGGACTTGTCAGGTCTTGAATGAAGTGCACTTCTCAGGCAATTGCTGTTCAAGAAGGTTTTAGCTTCTTTGCTGATCCATGCTCCAAAAGTGAGCGTGTAACGTGCTCTTCCAGAGTGCTGGAGTTAAGACATGCTGTCTTCCCGATTAACAAGTCAAGCTTTCCTTTCTTCCCTGTAGCAACCACAAAGTTTGAGCTGAAGTGCTGAAAGTGAGATGTTCTGCTTTGTGTTGGCAGCACCTGGAGGCTGCATTTCTCTGCAGGTAGCTGCTGGCTCTGGGATGGATCAGCCAGACCAACCTCCCGGCCTGTCTGCCCTCCACAAAGCTGACGACTCGACTGCTTCTCTTGAGAAGTGCCTTCTCACTGGGGTTATGAGTTAGGAGTTAGGAGCTGCTGCTGCACTGGGGTTATGAGCACAGTTAGGAGCTGCTGCTTCAAAGTGTGGGTTTCCCAGGGGCTGAACTGGTGGGAGCTTCTTCCCAGCCTCCCCATGCTTTGGCATAAATATTGCCTGCTGTGCTTGGTGCCTACACAGTGCTTTCATACAGCTCTTCTGGAGACTCAGCTGGGAAGGAGATAGCCACGGTGCTTTATGCAAGAAAGCAGCTTAAACAAATTTTAAAGCCTTAGTTAAACATTAACAGTTAATTATGGCTTTGATGCAGAGTAAAGGCGATTGTGATTATGAATGACCTGTGACCTGGCATGTTGTTTGCTGTAAATCGATGCTCAGCTGCCTTGTCTTTCCCAAGCATGAATTAAAATAGCTGGTAGCGACAGACTTCTGTCTGAACTTCAAAGCGAGCGCCTGCGTTTCTGCTGCGTGTGGCTGAGCTGCTGCCAACCTGCTTTTAAGGGAAGGAAACAAACGTTGGAGCGGAGCCCTGCTTGCAGCGTGCGGCTCCTCTACCTGCAGGAGCCGTGGGGGCTTTGAACGCCGCCCAGTGCCCTGCGTCTCCAGGGCTGAGCGCTTCCCTTCCGCTCCTCTTCTGGCTGCGTCGCCATCAGGTGCACATGGAAGAGGTGAACTGATCAAACGCTCCTTGAGATGGCTTTAGGCTTTCAGATTGAATATATATACATATTTTTAATTAGCTCCGTGTAAAGACTCTTACTGCTTCAAATAGCAGCCGTGAAACCAGCAGCCTGGCAGTTTGATCCTTTGTTTTTCCTGGTGCACAGGAAATCTCAGTAGCTGTAGGTTTTAGACCCAGCTACACACCCCAACCACAACTAACAGCCTGCGGAAACATCAAGTGATTATCTTCTAAGTATGCCTATCAGGGACACATGAAAGGATGTGCTGTGTGGGTACAGTATTAGACTGACAAGTAGCAGAGCAGTCGGTTGCATTTTAACAGGAGCAAAGATGCTTTTCTCTAATAAAGCAGAGGATGCCACAGCTCAAGTTAAGGAATTTTGTTCACGTGAGAAACCTTTCTTTCCTTATCCTAGTTGCTACAACTCTGCTGTGAAATGGAGAAATGACTTCAGCATTTTTATCTCTTCAATTTTCAAAGCGAAGATCAGTTGCAGGGCCCTCTAGTAGTTCTCTTTCTGAATAAACTTTGTCTCCCCATTCTCCTGGTTAGGGTAGGTGCTTGATGGAGCTTGCCAGCCCAAAGCTGGGTGTAACACAAGCTGCTCACAGCAAGCTCTTGATTTTTGGAAGGTTTGGTGATAAAAATGGGGCTGTAACATGGGATTTCATGAGTATGAGTGAACCAGGGTGGTGACTGCGATGGTGGTGGCTGTTTCTTGATGCTGTGAATCCTATTTTGTGCTAGGCTAGCAATCTACTGCTGGTGTATTTCTGACAGTCTTGAAAGTTGCTTCGCTGTTCTATGTGACTAGGTGATCTTGCAGGTCATTTCCAACCTTGTGACTCCATGATCCTTTTGTTATCCCAAGGTGTATTTGGGGGCAGCCTCAGATAGGGGTGGACTCTTTTCTGGCTGGGTCATGTGAGCCATGGGCTCTGAGCATACTGGCTGAATGAAGCCTGGATTCTTCAAGGTCGTTGGGGTAAAATGGGTAACCCAATCAATCTCACAGCTCACTCTGCTATGAACATGTTATGGACTGGAGACCAATTCCTTGCAGTCTTAACTGTCCTGTGATACTGTGGTGCAAGAGCAAAATAGTTGCTTTCCAAGAATATAAAGTGAGGTCTGTATTTTGAGCATCGTGTGGTGTTTTGCCTTCTCATCTTTTAGCAGGTAAATGTCTGTTTTCCTGTCACTGCTTTTTAGCCTTCTGGTTAGCACTCTGTAAGCTGATATCCCCTCAGGAGCAGGCTTCCTTTTTTTGCTGCTAGTAACTTGATTTTAATTTGCAGACATCACCGTTGCAGCTGAGCTGGCTGAACAAGCTCAAGAAGCTGTAGCTCCTGAGAAAGCAGCAGAAGTTGGACTGGGCTGCCAGTATTCTTGAACTGAAAGGTGGTGGGGATGTGCATCTTCCTGGTGACTCTCAGGACTTCTGTAGGAAACAGATAACGAGTTACCTTATGGAGAAGGTTCCAAGGATTTTGCTTTATTAGTGTTAATTTTTTCCTTTCCTTCCACCGTTCAACCTATAAATGCTGGAGGGATGAATCTGACTTCTCAGCAGTGTTTCAGTATCATCTACACTTGGACAAATCATGGGAACTTGTCAGGATTCTGTTGTGAGTGATCTCAGGCCAGGGAGCAGGAGGTGCTGTGGCTCTCTGCAAAGGGACAGGGTGGTTGGAAGAGGCACTGGAGAAGCAGGTGAGCTTTTGGTAGTAAGGTCAGTGCTGTGGAATTGTAGCCACATCTGTGAGGCAGATCTGAGTGATGAGCACTGAACCCAAGAGGTTCCCCTTTGAAATACAGAGGAAAGAAAATCACAGCTTAGGGGTAGGTCTGGCTTATATCCAGAGAAAACCTGTGCATAGATACTGCTTTCCTTCCAGTGACCTTAAAGAGCTGGATGGGTGGGGTGGGAGCTGCAGGTGAGAGATGGAGGCTTTTCTGGGGGCAGGCTCTGCCATCTTAGAGTGTGCCTGGACTCCAGGGCTGGCAAAGACCCAAATACAAATGAGAGTGGTGGGTGAGGGGTGCTAGCAAAGAGCAAAATGCTGGGAGCACTGTGTTCCTTGGCACGCTGCACATGCTGTCATGTTGTGGCTGGGCCTCCTGGAGGTAATGGCCCTTGCAAAGAATGATTTGACCAAGGGAGGAAGGTGCAGGGAGAAGCAATAGAAGTCTCAGAGGGGAAGGGTGAATCTGGGAGAAAGAGGACTGGCTTCTCAAAACCAAAGAGGAAACATCCAGGTACCAGGCTTCTCAGAAGGCAGCTGGAAAAATGCAGAGTAGTGTGTATCATGGGTCACCCAGTACGGGAAGGGAGATGACCTGAAGGGCCCTTCTGGGCTCTTTGCAGTGAGCTTGCTGTTTTTGAATTCTTATCACTTAACATTCAGTTTCTTCCAGGTCTAAAGTGAGGAAGTTGAATTAATTTTATGGGAACGCCACCGTGCCTGATCCACTTGTACTAATGTACAGAACTCTTGGATGACTCTTTCAGGGGCACTGTAGAGACGTGCTAGCAATGTTTGGAGCTGCTAAAATGGAGTAACACGTACAGCGTTTCCTGTGGGAATGATGACTGTAGCCTTTGTTATCCTAGGACTTCTCCAGCTGACGAAAGGAACGGTCCTTGGGCGAAAAGGAGACCTGTCCCTGGGCACGTGGAGGGTGTGATGTTGGATCTGTGTGTTTTGGGAGAAGCACGACGTGGAGCTCCTCGTGTGTGCACAGCGTGGTTTTCCTGAAGTTGGTTTATTTAGCAATTCCAGGGCTGTTTGTAGAAGAACCGAGCCCTTTATTCTTCCATGAACATTCCTTGAACGTTCCTGACATCCCACCTCTTGCAGATTATGGGCTGCTTTAAGGGAATCTGAAAGTACAAGTAGGATGCCATGAGTTTTGTATTGCTTATACAGATTGTTCTTTAAAAGGTTATGTTTAATATTGTTTTTGTTCTGAGAAAATAAACCGATCTGAGAACTAGCGCTGGCAGGACCTGTGCCAGTTTATTGTGCAAGAGTGATTAATGTCTCTTTCAGTGTAAGGAACTGGAATTTGGAAATAGAGTCCAGTTTGTTAATGTAGCTAACTGCTTGGGCAACAGCATGCTATGCTCTTTGTTTTGGCTGAACATTCCAGTGAGTGTTAATACTATATTTCAAATTACCTCAGAATACCATCTTTTCCCCTTCAAATATTGCTGACTTTCCTAGTGTTGATCAAGTTGGTTTCCTTTCGGAGCAGAACACGCCGTGTTCCCCCTGCATCGCTCTGAACGCAGGCACGGCTGAGCTGATAAATGCAAAACCTCTTGGTGAGGTGGCAGCAAGGCAGTGTAGAAGCTGCAAGAAGCCACGTGGATTCTGCAAAGAAGGAACCCGGTAACTCGGAACACTGTTTTAATGATTTCTCCCATCCGTGTTTGACTAGTTTGGATAATGTCTTCTAAGCATAATTCAGTGCCTTGTTGTTGACTTGCAGGGCAGGGAGAGTTGCCTGTGGTCAGTGTGTGTTCCAAGGTGGCCTCTTGCCAGGAGAGAAACGTCTGAAGTGCTCTTGTTTTCCCCAGTTCTGCCGACATCTTTATGGCTTTTTGGACTCAATACCACCACGCTCTGATGGTATCTTAAAATAAAATGCCCTCTTGGTAGGACATACTGGAGAGGAAAAAAAAAAAAAACAAACCAGTTGGGAAATCTTGAGCTGGCAGCAGCCTGCAAGCACACTTTGGAGCTCTCTGCCTGTTGTTGTCCTCTGTGCTTCTGGAGAACCATCTTGATCTCTGAGAGGGGTGCTCAGATCCTGCCGCACTGCTTAGCGGGAGGACAGCAGATCAAAGGGGAACGTGGGCTTTGGGTTTCTTTTGGTTTCCTTAAGAACAATCTGATTAATACTGCTTTTTGTCAGACCAGCTTTTTCCAAAAGCCTCCAAGAGTATAAACAGGAAGGTGGAGGGGAAGGAGAGTTCTATAATACTAATTATCTTAATTATAGAGTGCAGGGCTTCATCTCGTTGCAGGAGTTTTGATGTGCAGTGATAACACACAACTGAAAAAAGCAAGCGTTGCGTGGAAGGCAGGTGACAGGCCTGGGCTTCACTGGAGAAGCGTGGCTGCTTTCCTGTGTTTGGGTTCCTGTAGCCGTGTGTGTGCTTCCAGCTGCTCTGCGCACAGACGGCACAGCAGCCCTGTGTGCTGTCCTTGCCTTGCCGTGTCCCGTCCCCTTTTGGTTCCCAGCACCAGCGCCTTGCTGGTTCCTCTTTGCAGGGCCGACACTAGATGGCAATGCCTCCCTCGTAATACTGCAGCACGGCGGGAATCCCGGGGTTTGTTTGTGATGGGCTCTATCATGGATAGTAGTCCTTTTCTGCACGGATTGCTCCACTGGCTTCCTTGCGTTGGAAGCTGACGCCAGTTTCCAGTGTGAAGCAGAGGATTGTGTTTCATGACAGACAGGATAAGATGGGAGACCTGAGGGCAGACGTGTGGCAGAGTTCTCCAGCTCAAGGTTGCCGTGCCTTGACGTTTTGGCACTTGGCTGCTGGCTTTGGGCTGCTGGGTCGGGGGAGGGCGGCATCCATTGGAGCGGATTTGCAAATGGAAACTTGGCACAGCAGCATAAGTGGGAGATCTGGTGGAGGCACAACGCGCTGCTCCCCAAACGTGTATGGACAAAACCCATCACCAAAGGCACCATCCAGGGCACAGGCATTTAAATGCATAAGTAGACCTGGATGGGATTGCTCACTGTGTCCCAAAAGGGATTCCTGCAAATCTCTGCTCCTGCTGGCTGCCAGCTGAGCACGCTGCAGTGCTGCAGCAACGGGGACTGCAGGTCCCACACCACCTCCCAGCCCCACCGCATCTGACCTGCAGGCTGTCACTAGCTTGAAGATTGGTTTACTGAGGTATTAAAGACTTTGAGTTGTCAGCTAAAGTTTGTTGAAGGGAATTTTGGAGTTCTGCAATTTTTCTATGCAAGGTGAATGTGAAAAATGACTTTGCTGATATTTTTTATTATTATTATTTTGCTTTTATTCCTCTTGAAGAAAAAGAATAAAACTTTCCATCTCTGGGCAAGATCAAAAATGCGTTACCATCTTTAGTTGGCATTAGAACAGAAATACAAGTCCGTGAGCAAAACAGAAAAATTTCCACAAAGAAACACAGTTTCTGATTGTTAACGGGAAAATGTGGGCCTTTGAGAAATTTGCTACTGAAATATTTATTTTTGGCCCAAAAGCCACTTTCCCCCCTTCTCCCCCCCCCTTTCTTTAAATAGTTTGACAAATATCTTCAGGGTGTTTGGTGGAGGAACCGTTCCAAAGGCAGGTTACCTCTCACAGCTCAGAAGTGGTCTTGTATTTCCAGTTTGGGTTTATCTAATGTCAACTTGCAGCTTCTGAACTTTGCCGAGCAATTAAAATATTATCTGATATTGTATGATGTTTTCCCAGCCTGGGTGTGCTCAGCTTTAATCTGAGCCCAAGATGCTGGGTGCCCTCACGTCTCCCTGTCTCTTTGGTTTCTTGGGCTGCGAGGTGAGGATCAAACTGATGTGAGCTGTGTGTAACAGCCCCTGCTCCTGCGTGTGCCATGCAGCTCCCAGGCTGTCTGTGGGCACCGTGCCCCTGCTGCTGCCTGCAGTGCTGGCAGTCAGTGCTCTAACCCTGGAGCGTGTCGGTGGCGTTGATGGCCCCGCGCTGCTACGTGTGGGCTGTGCACACAGCTCTGCCACGTTTGGGGTGGTGCAGGAGCTGCCCGTCCCTCTGTGCCGGCCCTGGTGAGGCTGCGTTCAGTGCTGCGTTCAGTGCTGGGCTCTCACTGCAAGAAAGACGTGGAGGCCCTGGAGTGCGTTCAGAGAAGGAACGGAGCTGTGAGGGCTGTGGAGCACGCGTCTGATGGGAGCGGCTGGGGGAGCTGGGGTGGGGCAGAGTGGGGCAGAGCTCAGGGGAGGCATCACTGCTGCCTGCAGCTGCCTGAAAGCAGGTGGTGGGGATGGGGGTCGGCCTCTTCTCCCTGGTGACAGCGATAGGATGAGAGGTGATGGCCTCACATTGCACCAAGGGAGGTTAGGGATGGATATTAGGAAAAACTTCTCCAAAAAGCAGTGGCACAACTGCCCACAGAGTGGTGGGGTCACCATCCCTGGAGGAGTTCCAGAGCCGTGGGGGTGGGGCGCTGAGGGATGTGGGCAGTACTGGTGGTAGGTGGGTGGTTGGTCTTTTCCAACCATAACAGCTCTACAAAGCATGGATTGGCAGAACTGGAGGCGGCACGTTGAGGGCACGTGGGAACCCACAGGCATTGGTGGTGATGGGGGCGCCAAGCTCAGCCCTGCAGGCACATCTCCCCATCACTGGTGGGCACTGGGGGGGACACAGAGTGCTGAGGTGTGGCCATCACCTGTCCAATGTTCCTGCCATGCCTTGGTGGCCAGCCCCAGGCTGGTGACCTCTGCTCAGCACCTCCCTACCCCAGTTTGCTGCAGCAGCCCTGCAGCGTGGCACGCTCCCAAGGACAGTAGGCACACTCCCATGTACTGAGCACCCTGTGGCCCATCACTGCAGCCCGTTCCCTGCTCAGCCGTGAGCCCTGTAGTGCGGGGCAGCCCCAGTCTGGGCTGCTTAAGGCCTTGAGCCCTTTTTATTTCAGCAGCCAGGCCTGGAAACCACTCAGCAGCACGGGCTGCCTGGCCAGGGCCATGCGGGCACCCAGCTCCCTGCCCTGAGTTTGTGTTGGCACAGGCTGGGGAACGAAGCTGGTTTAATTGGCAGTTGTGTTTGTGGCCAGGGTGTTATGAAAAGGTTTTCTGTCTCCCTCTGTAAGTTACCCTGAATATGTTTTCATTCTTAATATATTATTCACTTCATTATTAGCTGAAAGAGGCTCTTTTGAGAGAGGGTTTTTTTTCCTCTCTTCCAAAAATATATTAAACGGTCTCTTCATGCAGCAGCACTCTGAGGGCTGGGATTGTCTGCTGGAGGGGAAGTGAGAAACCCGCTGGTAAATGGGATTTATACAGAAATTCCTTTCTTTCACCGTGCCCCGAGTGCCACAGCCTGCAGGCGCTGTCGGACGGTGCTGTCTGCAGGGAGACCCCCTGGGTGCAGCCCCATGGCACGCTGTCTCTGGTCCTTCAGCAGGCCTCTGCCCTGGCTGTGTGCTCCCTGCCTGTGGGAAAAGCCCTCTGACCTCAGTGTGGGTCTTCTGAGGGCCAAGGCTGGTGCTAATATTGGGCTTGTGGGGTGCCCAGGGCTGGCCAGCACCCATGGAGCCATAGAATCGCCTGAAGGAAGAGATCCCTGGGGATCCCTGAATCCAACTCCTCGCCCCACACACAACCACCCAAAATTCAAACCACGTTTCTGAGAGTCTTGTCCAAACGCTCCTTAAAATCCAGCAGGCCTGGGGCCATGACTGCTGCCCTGGAGAGAGAAAGGTTAAGAACCTTTTTCCAGCACCCAACCTGAACCTGTCCTGAGGCAGCTTCATGCTGTTCCCTCGGGTTCCCTTTCTCTCCCATAGAGGAGGGTGAACCCAGGCGGCAGCATGTTGCTGTCCTGGAGGGTTTGCCACCACCAGAGACCAGCAGCTCCAGTTTGGATCCAGCCTCCACCAAGGGTTGGTTGTTGGGGAGATTTCCCCCAGGTAGGCTGGGCAGCTCTGCCTGAGCACGCAGCCCCACTGCCCCCTTCTGCAGCCAGCAGCAGGGCCTGATGTGCTCGAGTTGCAGGAGGGGCATCCTCGCACACAGCAGCCTAGTGAGCCTGGGGTGTCCCTGGAAGGGTCCTGCTGCCCTGAGCTGCAGTGTTACTGCTGGGGGGGGCCGGGTGGGAGGAGCAGCATCCTTGCAGACCTCTGGCACCCTTCCTCCTTCCCTGGAACACATTCAAATCATAATTCACACAGCCCTTGTGGTGCTGCTATGAGAGCACAGAGGAGCACGGAGCAGCTGCCCTCCTGCAGCTCATTTTCCTGTTCCAGGAGGGGTGTGAACACAGATCCCCTCTGCCTCAGTAGCGTTGCAGGAGCTGCAGCACTGCTCCCTCCCTGTGGTCAGCTGCAATCATTCCTTGCCATCCTGCAAAACACATTAGGGATCGTGCCACGCACTGATGAGTATTCAAGACCTGGCTGAAATTGGGAACAATTAGCAGTTGTTTCAGCAAGCATCTGTTTGCCTGTTGCTCTGTCTCGTGGCTGACACAAACAGTGAGCTCCCTGCATGCGGGTCAGACTGGTTGGTGCAAATTGTGGATAAAAGGTGCCCTTGGGAGCAGTTCTGCTTGTGCAAGGTGGGAGACTGGGCAGCTCCCCGTTTCTCAAGCAGCTCTGTGTGCACACCTCTGTCATCACAGCCATCCCTCTGCAGACACGGGTGTGTGTGATGGGCACTGTGGTGGCAGGGTGAGCCCCTGCCTGCTGCAGGTGAGCTGTGCCCAGCCCTTTGTGCTCGCTGGCAGCACGGCCCTGAGCTGGAGGGCCTGTAGCACTTCGGGGTGTCCCTCCTTGGTAAGCTGCAGTCAGACGTGGGGGAGCTGTGGAAGTGCTGCTGGTGCTGCACCTGGGTCACTGTGTGGACCTTTCTGTTGCTCATCCACTGCTCGGCTATGAGGTGTGGGAGTGTAAAGGCACACGGGGTGCTGCTCTGGTGGGGGGACCTGCTCAGAGCAGCTGTGTAT